CAATTTAACCTGATTATTTTTTACAGCTTCAAATCAACCAATCATTCATTTTCTATAAATTTGTGAATTGATATAGGCATTTAACCTTAAAAAATGTAACTTTTTTAATAAAATGATTGAAGAGATTGTATGCAGTTAGAATTTAAAAAACTATAAAGAATGACATTGTACTTTAAAAAATGTGAGAACTGTTAGCAAACTAAGCCCGTAATAACATTATACTTTAAAAAACTAAAAAGAATTGTATTTTTTAAGTGTTAAGCCCATAATAGCATTATACTTTAAAAAACTAAAAAGAATGGAAATATAATTTAAAAAATGTCACAACCGGTAGTGAACTAAGACCATAATAGCATTATACTTAATAAAAACTATTAAGAATAACATTATACTTGAAAAAAAAAATAGACCTTTTTCGTCGTTTAGGAGGCATCACAAAAACAAAAACTAAATTAGTCACTAATCAAAGATATTAGATTTGGAACAACAAAATAAACATACATTGCTATAAATTCAACTAAAACGCCTGCAAAGAGGAACATATTTCATATATAATTGACCATTTCTGTTAAAATAGCAAGCACAAAGTTCTATAACATTTTTATTCCCACATGCCACAAGTGGAGCCCTTTACACCCAGTAAAATGACTATTTTCCAACACAATATTGTAATTTTTATTAGGCTAATATTCTAAAAAGTTTATAATTTTCATCTTAAAAGTTAGAAAAATGACTTAATATTATTTTAAGCTAATATTCAAATACACGTAGTTTTTGCTCCAATATGTTATGTATACATTGTAGCACCTGGTTCCTGGTATGTAAATCTTATTTAAGTATTTTCCATTTTTAGCCTTGGACTCGGCGAGTCATAGATCCGACTCGCCGAGTAGGGACGGGACCCGGGACACGTTTAAGTTGGCGACTCGGCGAGTCCATATCCTGGACTCGGCGAGTCACCGCTGTTGGATGAAACCCTAAATTTCAAGGGTTTGCACCCTATTTAAACCTTCATTTCCGCCCCAAGCTCGCCCCCATTCACCCTCAGAGCTCCCAACATCATTTATACCCTTATTCCTTGTGAGATTGAAGTGTTTTGGTGTGTTCTTGAAGATTTTGAGGAGAAAGAAAAGTAGATCAAGAAGAGGAGAAGGAGGCCAGGCATATTTGTGTCATCTCAACGTTTTCCTTGAGGTATAGCTCGTTTCCCCTCTGTTTTCAAGCTTGTAGTCTCTTTTAGCTTCATGAAAGTCCTTCTTGAGCCATTCCCAAAGCGTGTTTGTGCATTGTGGGTTGTAATAAGTTGTTAGCCTCTAGATCTAGGCATGATTTAGTCCCTGGAGCTAATGCCTTTATGGGGTCATATTGCATGAAAGCCCTAGATCTACCCCTTTTGGTGCACTTTGAGCCCTAAAACCTTCATTGGTGATTATCTACACGTAAAGTTGGAAACTTTACGTGTAATCCATGCCCTAGAAACCCAGATCTGTGAATGGCATGGACTGGAATCGAGCAAATCTGTGTATTTTGTAGGTGCATGGCAACGAATCGGCGAGTCGTTCATGTGACTCGACGAGTCTGCTCGCGAGTCTCTGAATTTGTCCCCTTTTCGTAGTGTCGAGTGTGCAGTGAGTCACGGGGTGTGACTCAGTGAGTTGGAAGCTGAACTCATCTATGGAGGAACTCGGCGAGTCGATTCCCTAACTCGGTGAGTTCAAGGCAATCTCCTTAGATCAAGAACAAACTCAGCGAGTTGTTCATACAACTCGGCGAGTCTCCGCATAAGTGTTCATCGGATGAAGATGAACTCGACGAGTTGTTCATACAACTCGGCGAGTAGGATGAAGGACTTGAATGTCAGTTTAGAAGAAGAACTCGTCGAGTCATAGCCTAACTCGACGAGTAGAAACAGGGACTCAGGACAATCGTCTAGATAGGAACTCGGCGAGTTGGTGAGCCAACTCGGCGAGTCGGGTCAACTGAAAGTTGACTCTGACTTTGACTTAGGGCTAGACCTGGGGTGAAATGGTCATTTTACCCAAAGGACAGTTAGCAGTGTTTGATTGAGTATGTTGTGGGAATTGCAGCTGGAGGATTTCTGGAGCAGCAGCAGTCAGTCAGTTCTCGATCAGTTCAGCAGCTACTTTGAGGTGAGTTACCTTCCAGTAGCGGTGGGTCTACGACCACAATGCCGGCCCACCAGTAGGAGTCGTATGTTAGATGATTGTCTTTGTGATATCATCTTGGTTGCTACTACCTGTTATGTTATATGTTAGCATGATACGTTATATGTGATAGTAGTAGAGTTCGGTTGTTAGGACCGAAGGGTAGTCAGGCACCCCAGAAATGTCTGATAGCATGTGATGATATGTTTGTATGCTGGCCTGTTATGTTATGCGATAGAGGTAGTAGGAGGGGACCAGTCCCCGAGGATCGTTTGTTAGGACCGATGGGTAGTCAGCACCCCAGAATGGCTTGACATAGGTAGTCAGCACCCCAGAATGGCTTGACACGGGTAGGACAACACCCCAGAATGGTCGTATGGGTAGGTCGGCACCCCAGAATGGTCGTACCGGGTAGTCAGGCACCCCGGAATAGCCTGGCAGTATGTATATTATGTGTTTGTATAGTATGTGGTACGATGGGGGAACTCACTAAACTTTGTGCTTACGTTTTACAGTTTTGGTTTCAGGTACCTCTTCTTCGAAGGGGAAGGAGCTGGCGCGGTAGCGGCACATCATGCACACACTCTGGTTTCCGCATTTACGAGATTCACTGGGATTTGTACTTTGATATTTTGATGGGTTGTATGGTTTGGCTTTTAGACATGGTTTACGTTGTGTTATGGTTTGATCAACCAATGTTTTAATTGTTAATGTTTTCTAAAGTAATGTTTTCAAAACGAAATTTTCGGACGTGAAAATTGGGTCGTTACATACATTGTTTAAGTTGAATAGTATCTTTTTAACTTTTTTTGTGTGTTTTTCAGGTGAATGCATCTGATGTAATTATCTTGGAGGGGATATTGGTATTTCATGAATTAATGAATTTGAAAATATTTATTGACATGGGTGTTTATTCTCTTACTTTCATACTATTAATAATTATAATTGTTACCATACCATATTATTACTATTTTTGGATAAATAGAAAAAAAAAACCATTACGTCATCTTATTGCTACCGAGGCTTTCAATAGAAGGTTTGTTGTAATAAATCGACTAAACTATTATGCCTTATGTCATTATATAGCAACTTACTTTCATTTGTCATTTTATAGCATCCTAATTTCGATTAACGTCATTTTATAGCAAGCTTGATAATCAATAAACTCAAAGACCCTAATTTTCAAGGTTTTAATTTTATTTTAAAGATGAAGAAGGGGTCGAAAATGTCAAAACCCAGAACTCGATATCCTAAATTCCTGATCGAGAAGGTTTTTGAAATGTCAAACCCACAGACTTGGAAAGGAAGAATGAGAGAAAATTCGAAATTGAATATGGAACAAAAAATCAATATCAAATACAAAGAACAGAGAACATACCCAGACCTCAAATTTCAATTGAGTGTAAACGGTTGGAGGCGGCAACAGAGCACAACCGTTTGTTGGCGACGGAAACGTCAAACCCAAAATTCAAACATCAAACCCACAAAGTTGGAAAGGGAGAAATTTGAAATTGAAAATGGAACAAAAAACCAATATCATATACAATCGATAGAGAACAAACCCATACTTGAATTGCAATATAGTGTAGACGGGATAAATGACTGAGAGCATGATTGAAGAAGTATTCTGGAAATCAACAAAATTTATAGAGAAAGAGTTTGCAGTTGACATACCTTATGAATCAGAATTGTTGGAGTCCAAATTGTAAGTGCTTTGAGGAAAAGACAACGGAAACATCAAACGCAAATGCTCTGAAACGAAGAACAAAGGAATTAATATGATGGCGGTGGGAATTTCCAAATATTCACAAAGATTGGAGAAAGTAGCTTTGCGCATGAGAGTGAGGAAGAGTTTGCAATTGACATACCTGATGAGTCGGAATTGTTGGAGTCCAAATTGTAAGTGCTCAGACGAAAATATGGTGGACGAGAAACTCTGAAACAAAGAAGGAAGGAGTTGACGGTGGGAATATCGATTAGGAAATCGGGCAGTTCAAGGATGAAAAAGTCATTTGTATCCATATTGTTGTAGTTAAAATATGAAACAGGTGAAATTAAATATGTTTAATATATATATATATATATATATATATATATATATATATATATATATATATATATATATATATATATAAGGGTTTTCATATATGTATATAATTTGTATTAGTATTTAAATTTGAAATTAAATATGTTTTACATGTTTCCTTCATTAGCATGTTTAAAGCGTGTGTACATACATAAAAGAATTCTTATTTATCTGGATGAATATAAAACCCACTTATGCTTTAAATTGTTTTATTTTAATATTAAATTGATCGTTTGGTTTGGCAGGAAAACGATTGGTGGCATGAAGAATCTAAAAATCAGTTAGACTCAACGGTTGAAAGATTTTTGTAGCCAAAATCACAATGGCCCTTCGTTAACATTCTATTTTTCTTCAATTTTCATTTAATTCACATAAATCCTCCCCACCCTAATTTAGCTCCGATTTTTCATACTATTGATCCCCGGGAACCTTCTCCAACTCCTTCATCCATCCATGCACAATTCCTTTTCACAATCGATTCATAAAGTTTCATAGGTTAATATTATCATGTGAAGGGCTTCGTTTCGCAATCAGGGCAAGAGTTTGGTGTTTGATTTACATTGTAAGTTTCAATTTTGTGTTGTCATTTGTTTCATATCATTCTTAATCTAAAAAAATTAAATTCCTTTTTCAGCCTTTTGAACCCTAAATTTGGGATCCTATGATCTTGAAATACAGGAGCAAATTGATAACGCAATGATTATAGGCCATTTTTAAGGGGTAAAAAGGAAGGTTTCAATATGTTGCCAATGGCTGCCACCAAGGGATTAATCGATCACCTGTTATTGGCTACCTGCGAATGGTTTTTAATGTTTTGGGTGTTCATCGATGCGGCATTGGCTTATTCTCTTACAAAATTCGCTCGCTACTGCGATCTACAAATCCCATGCTTGTTGTGCTCGAGGCTTGACCACTTTTTTGACAAAGAAGAACCCGGATCTTATTTTCATTTGTTCTGCAACAGACACCAAGGAGATATCTCGTATTTGATATATTGCAATCTTCACAATGAGCTTGTGGATATACGAGAAATATGTGAAGATTGTTTACATAGCCAATCTAATTTGGAATGTTACAGGTTTGTGGTGGATAAGAATCTTGGTTGCATGGGATCCAGTATAAGAACATGTTCTTGTTGTAAAAGACAATGGAAAGAAAAACCGAGTGGTCAACCCATGATCGACCCGCATATGGTCGGGTCACGGGGGTGTAATAGTAATGTTACCACAAAACCTCCATTGCCTCGAGTGGGTCCGGGTCCGGGCCCAGGTCCAACTAGACGTGTTAGGTCTAGGCATGGAGATGGTGTGAGGAGGATAAGAAATAAAACGAAAAACCGTCATCATCGTAAGTATTCAATGTCTCCTGGATCATATTCTGATGCCAACATTACTTCTGAGTCAGAGTTTGAACCCCTTTTTTCTGATGATGATGATGGAAGCTTGATCATGCGAGGTGTCACAAATGGTGGTGATACTCGAAACAAGATTTTTGGAAGGCATTCGTATAGCACACCTGATTTTGGATCCCTTCTTGTTGAGTCGCAGCTTCATGAGCCTAGTGTAAGAGCTCGTTCTACATCCGTGACACCAAATGTTGCTCGATCCCTTCGAAGAAGTGAAGAAAATAATCCTTATTTTAAACCCAAGAAATACATGAATCCATCACCATCTTCATCAATGGATGGTTGTATGGCATCCAATAGCATTGGGAGTCAGAACCAATGCAGGATTTCTTCCAGACATTCTTACAGTGCCTGTGATTTGGGGTCTGCCATTCTTATGGAAATGCAACTGAACAGTTTACCAAGGCGTTCTGCATCCGTGACACCCAATAGTTCTGGTCATGGTTTTGGAGAATTTAAATGGCCAAAATGCCAAACACAGCCTGCTTCTTCTCATGAAACAGTCCAAAATTATCTTCACAAAGCCAAGAAAAGTAAGAAGTCGTCATCATCAACCAACTCCATGAGAAGGTCAGGTTCCTATGGGCACTTTGATGATTCTTCCATCTCACGTAACACTGATACTCAGAATCGAAACAAGATCCCTCGAAGGCATTCATATAGTGTGTTCCAGCTGGGGTGTGAGATTCTTTTGAATATGCCTACTGATGAACCTTTAACAAGTAATTCTTCTGCATCTTTCCAACAAAATGGTTCTTTTGGTTACGGTTTTCAAGATCCTAATAGCAATAGGAGGCCTGTTCACTCCTATTCACATTCACAAGAGCTCGATTCTCTCAATGCAATGTTATTCCCAATACAAAGACCTAATAACGCGTATGGATCGATGGACGATTCTTTTGTCTCTCGTACCACAGGTAACCAGTGTTATGACCGTAGCACCCTTCCTCGCAGGCATTCATATAGTTTTTTTGAGATTGGGTGTGAAATTCTTCTAAACATGCCTAACGATGAAACTTTAACAAATCCTCCTGCTTCCATCACGCCAAATCCAATGCAATTTCCTAATAAAAGAGCCAAAAGAGCTAAGAAGAATCCGTCTCCATATTTACACAAGAGTGAGGGGCCTAGCTCTTGGGATGATTCTGTTATCTCACATAATCAAAATGGAAACACAAACTCAAACCCTCGAAGACATTCATACAGTGCTTTCGAGTTAGGATGCGCACTTCTATTCGAGTTGCAAAAGGATGAAAGCTTAAAACGTCCACGGCGTTCTGCATCGATGACCCCAACTCCTCAAATTGTTCATGGTTTGGGAGAACAGAACAAGACAAAATTCCAAAATCGACCCAATTATTCTCCTTCACATAATCCGTTTTTAGACAGGAATCATGGTAATGGGTCTCTCGATGATTCTGTTGTCCCACGTAACAACGGTAACCGTGGTCAAAATACACTTCCCCGAAGGCATTCATATAGTGTTTTCCAGCTAGGCGGTGATATTCTTCTGAATATGCCTCACGACGACGAAAGTATGACCAGTCAACCTTCATTTTTTACGCCAAATGGTGAACCACAGAGGTCGTCGATATTCCATATTAAGAACAGTCCTTGTCATTCACCGGAGAAGCACAAGTCTCATCATCCGCATCCATTACATCATAATGGGGTGCCATTGCATCCACCGACGGGATCTGTTAAAAGATTCAGCTTATCGTCTGATATCGGTAACGATTTCTCAACCGCCTCCTTTTTAGACAAGAATAAATGGCATGGATCCATGGATGATTCTGTTGTATACCGTAGCATGAATAATCAGAATCAAAATAATGTTCCTCGAAGACATTCGTATAGTGCTTTTGATTTGGGTCGTGCCCTTCTAGTTGAGATGCATCTTGACGAAAGCTTAAAACGTTCCTACCCTTCACCTGCACCAAACTATTCATCTGGACTTGGTTTGGGAGAATTTCATCAGCCGAATTTCCAAAATAAACCTAACCCTAGTTCATCACAACGAAAAGCGATGCCATGGCCTAGAAGCGATGGGTATGGATCTTGTGATGATTCTTTCATCTCACGTAATGCAGGTAATCATAATCAGAACGAGAATCGTCGAAGACATTCTTACAGTGCTCTTGAATTGGAATGTGCACTTTTGCTAGATATGCATCTTAAAGAAAGCGCAAAACGTCGTCGTTCTGCATCTGTGACACCAAGTGCATATGGGCATCATTTTGAAGAACCAAGGAATTCAAAGATCCAAACTAGACCTGGCCCAATACCACAACCAACAGGTCCAGCACACCCCGTTAACGGTTTTGGTTCATCGAACAATTATTTATTTAATAATAATAATAACAATCGTCACCATGGATCTCTCGACGACTCTGTTGTTTCACATGGAAGAGGTAATAATCGGAAGCGATACAGGAAGCTTGTAAGGAATTCCTACAGCGTTTCTGATCTAACATCGCCATCTTTGGAAATGCCTGTGGAGGAAGGTTTCACAAGTAAGTCTGCATCTTTGACACCAAGCTGTTCAATCGGTCAAGGTTTAGGAGGATTGGATTGGTTGCAATTCCAAACCGGAACAACTTCTGTTTCACCAGAGCTCGATTCTAATCAACTACATCATAAAAAACGCAAAAAAAGTGAACGTGCAAAAGCCAAGAAAGGTAAGAGGCCACTGCAACAATCAGGCAACAATGGTGGAGGTGGAGGTGGAGGTGATTTATCAATGGATAACACTAACTGGTATGATGCGTTTGATGATCCTGTTTACTCTAATGACACGGGAAGTCGAAACCGATACGCAATCTTTTCAAGAAACTCCCAAAGTGCTAACGATTTAGGATCCGTACTTCTAGAGATGCATCTTGATGACAGTATAAGAAGCCGTTCTAAATCTTTAACACCAAATTCCTCGATTGGATATGGTTCACAAGAAGAAAAGTGGTCAAAATCCCAAATTAAACCTAGTCCTTCTCTTTCACCAGAGCGCCAATTCCATGCTGAAAAACCCAAAAGACATGACCACCTAGAAACCGAAAGGGATAAGAAACATTTGCCTCCATTGATCCCCACAAAAGACGCAGATTCATCTACTAATATCAGAACCGATGCATGCTCAATGTGTTCAGAAAGAATGGATGCGAGATCTTTGGATGGAAGTACTTACACTGAAATGGAGGTTGATGGTATTGTGGAGATAGTGAAAAAAAAGGCAGAAGATGACGTCAGATGCTTGAGATTGTTGCAATCAGAATTAGAAGCCGAAAGAAACGCTGCAACAATAGCTGCAAATCATGCCATGAACATGATCACAAGGTTACAACAAGAAAAAGCTTCTCTTCAAATGGAGGCCTTACAGTACTTGAGAATGATGGAAGAACAAGCGGAATATGATATGGAAGCTTTACAGAAAGCTAACGAGCTTGTGGAAGAAAAAGAGAATGAAATTCAAGATTTGTTGGATGAATTGGAACAATATAGAATCAGATACGGGGATTTATCAATGGGGAGTATCCATGTTCCTATTATCATCTTTGAGAATGAAAAAAGGTACATTTTGGAATCCTTATCGACACTGGAAAAGAAGCTTCATCAACTGTGTGATGGTGGTGATCATTTGAATGATGACAACAGCTTTTTAACACCTAAAGATTCAGCGACATCTAATGGGGTTTTTGATAAATGCCATGAAATTGATTCAGCCACCATGGAGCATGAGCTTTTAGAGCTTAAAGAAAAGATTGAAGGTTTACAGGCTGATATTGAGCTTGTTAAACATGCCTGTAACTCACTCCATGGAAGTGAGGGCCTTGAATTTATTCAAGAAATAACTCATCAACTACAAGATTTGAGAAGACTTATGGTTGATAAAAGAGGCATTTCTAGCAATTGATAGGATAAATCCTTCTACAAAAACCGAGGTAAGGGACTTTTTCTTTTAACTTAATCTGCTTAATAGGTTAGAAACTTAATCATGAGAAAGCGACTCAACGGATTAAGCAAAAAAAAAAAAACTGACTTAATGTATTAAGGCACCAACTCTTTACCTATTTAACAATTTTTTTTTTTTTTCACATTAATATTCTGAAATTTTATACTTGATAATGTCTCATATATATAAATTTCTGTATCTTGATGCAGTTTGCAGCTATTACCCATTTTTATAAAATGCAAATGGACGTCGTCACACGTGCATTTATTAGCAGGTGCAGTATGTATCATATACATATTTTTATCATGAAATTAGTAATATTTTTATAGTTTTGTTATTGGTGTGTGTGTATATATATATATATATATATATATATATATATATATATATATATATATATATAAGCATATTTTAATCATCTCACAAGAAATTTTGTACTAATGTTGACATGGTTCCTTGCATATGGTGCAGTATGCTGTTCTGATAGCAAGCGTATGACGAGTGCAAAATGATGTTTTCTCACTGGAAAAATAGGTTTCATTTATTTATTTTATTTTCCAATCTCTTTATTATTTTGTAGTTGGAATTATGATTTCTTGTTCATTTTGGATGTTGTAGTTTGGATGGAAATATATGTTAAAAGTGTAAACACCATGTGTATATGTATGACAATGATGTGTTGGTAGACATTTTTTTTTTTAGTTTAAAGGTCATTTTTATGTAAAATTTGGGGTTTTATTCATCCAGTATAACTCATTTATAAGAGATTTTACTTAATTTGGTCATTTGGAGTTCAAAACTTCAAATTTTGTTTTGTCCAATCTGGTCTAGTTCAAAGATTAAGAAAACTAATAAAAAAATAGAAAACTAATAAAAAATGAAAAAAAAAACGTCAACGGTCCGTTAGAACTTAGAAAGTTTGGGGTGATTATATAATAAATATTAATAAATCTCTTTCAAAAATAAAAATGAAAATCGTTTTTTGCATGTCTTTGCTTTATCAAAGAATTCATCATCATATTCATATACTTCCAAGTTCCAAACACAAAGTTGATGAAACTAAGTTGCGATCTTAATCCACAAATAAGTCTTAAAAGATCGTTTCTCTATTATTAGAAAAAGAAGGATTTCCCCAAACATTAGCGTTAAAACTTGCCAAAATACTCAAATTATGATAAATAGAAAAAGACACTTCAAATTTCAAAACAAATGGTCTGAACCAAATTACTGAAACTTTTTAATATAACAATACAATTATATGTTTAAATCTTATATTTATATCCCTATTATATGTTTAAATCTTATATAACTCAAAAAAAAAAAAATCACGATACACTATTTAAATGGCTAAATTGGCAGCATAACGTTAAGTAGTCCACCATAATATATGTGAGAAATATAGAACGGAATATTCTAGTGTTGTAATAACTTGGGGTTGTCTACTTCAACGGGATTACTTATTAGTAAACGGATTATTAGATGATTGAGACTCAATTAGTCAAAAGTCAAATATAGCATATAAAAAAAAGCTACTAATATTAAAAAAAAAACTACTAATATTTAAAAGCATTTTGTCAAATAACTACGAAATACTATTAGTAAAAAAAAATATAAAGACTATTATAATTATTATTATAGATAAGTTTAGAAGCAAAATTATATGAATTATTACTTATAGTTTTTCCTTCTAAGAGTTATATGTACGGAAACATTATTTATCTTTATCGAATCAATTAACTTACTTACACGTATCAAATATAGATTTAAAATGTTTATTAATTGAAACAAATACAAATCTTTCTTTTAAAGAACGGTTTCCAAGGGTTTATGCCTTACATTTGTATAAGCTTTGTATGGTTTTGATCGGATTCGGCTGGTCGATTGGTTCTCGGTTTTTAAAAGGCCTCCTAGAGGAGGCGACGTGATGCTTCAATATGAGCCGTTGAGATCATGCCTTACTCATGTTACTATGAGGATTCTTGGGAGTGGTCGATTGACCCTTATGTGGGTTTCACAGTTGCTTCAGCTCGAGCTCGAGCGTTGATTGATTCTATTATCTTAGAGGCTGCTCCTCAGCTGTCTAAATGGAATCGATTAATCCCTTCCAAATGTAATACGCTTTTTTGGAGGTTGAACTTGAATAAGGTGTCTACTAGAGTTAATCTTGGATAGACTTGGTATTGATGTTAGTTATGTGTTGTGTGTAGTGTCCAATTTGTGATGCTGATGTTGAAACGGTTAATCATATTTTTTTTCTTGTGGGATGACGTTGGATTTATGGAGTCTTCTTGCTAGACGGTGGAAGTTGGATTTGCCAGTTTTTTTCGTATATTTCAGATTGGTTATCTTGGATTGATCCAGTTCAGTTGTTTCTCCAATTGAAGAGATGTATAGATGCAGTTGTTCTTACTTTATTCTGGGTGATTTGGTCATTTCGGAATAAATTGTTGTCCGCAAAGATCTAACATGTCAAGGCGGTGCTTTGGGATTTCATCTGATCTCAGTCTTATTTGTGGGTTTCTTCTATATGTACTAAGCTTAGTATTGAGTGGATCAGTTGGGTGTAAATTTTGATTTTTTTGGAAAGAGAACTTCCCTAATGAGGGTTTCCAGGCCAACTTTCGCACACCGACTAATTCCCCGCTGCAAACATGAAACTTTACCTCATGCCCTAGAGTCACTGCAGATGAACCTCCATGGTCACAAGGGTTGAGTGGTGCAAAATTCGATTTTTGTAATTACTTAATGTGTTTTCCTTCTAGCTTTTTGTAACACCCATAAAATTTAGACCAATTTAAAACTTTTCAAAAACATTTAAAACCAACAGTTATTACAAATTTGTTTCAAAAATAGTCTATATCAGAGTTTCCCCAGAAATGATAATAAAAGATTAGGTGTTGTACGATCACGCATTCACCTTGTCGCGATCCCCTGATGTACTTGAAACAATAAACAGAAACTTTAAGCCCGAAAGCGTAGTGAGTTCCCTCAAAATACTCATACTCACAGCAATACACATATAATCATAAACAACATACTATGGGTCCAGTCAACCATCGGGTGGGAATACCCTAGGCCCTTAACCATCAAGTTGGAATGCCAACATACTATGAGTCCAATCATCCATGGGATAGAATACCCTAGGCCCACAACCAATAGGTTGGAATGCCCACATACTATGAGTCCAATCATCCTCGGGATGGAATACTCACGACCCACAACCAACAGGTTGGAATGCCCATGTCTGTTGGCTTTCGCATAAAGGAGATAAGCCTCAACTGCCAAACAAACATGTGGACAAATAACATATAATCACATAACAGTCTATAGACAATAACTGATCTAACGGATCATACCACATAGCACATAATACCATCCTATCTCCCAAGACATCGATCTAACAGATCATACCACATACCACATAATATTATCGTACCCTCAAGGATATCGATCTAACATATCATACTAGCATAACATAACCAGATAAAAATCCAAAGGGTCGTCCTTAGTGCCTTAAACCCCTGAGTATAGGGAGGATAACTCACCTCGCAACTGTTGACTCGTAAGATAAGCTCAAACTCTCATATCACTGCCACAAACTCCACCACCTATATTCATTGTAAAACCATACTTGTAAATTTCCAACATCCCAAAACGTTCCCAGAAGACCACTGGTCAACCCTTAGTCAAAGTCAAAGTTAACTGACAAGGTCAATAATCCCTGTTGACCTCAACTCGTCGAGTACCCTCAGTTACTCGCCGAGTCACTAGAGTGACTCGTCGAGTTCCTAAGGTTTGCGGACGTAAAATCCTTGCCCGACTTGTCGAGTTTCCCTTGCAATCGCCAAGTTCATATATGTCCAAAAGTTGGGAAAACCCCATTCGACTCACCAAGTCCCTCATCGGACTCGCCGAGCCCACGACAATATTCATCGGACTCGCCGAGTCGACCATGCCACTCGTCGAGTCCCTTCGGTCCTTCATCCATACAAATGCTTTTTAAGCCATGCAAAGGCTCCATATTATAGATCCAGCTTCACAAGGCATGCTTATCACGTAAAGTTGCAAACTTTACGTGCATGCAAAGCTCTAAAGCCTTAAAATAACAAAACTAATCTTGCAAATAGTCTTGCACTTTAGGGGGGGGGGGGTTCATACTTGTCAAAGCTGGAAACTTTATGAACTTAGAGACTAAAAAGAGTTCAGATCTAAAGTTGCAACTCCAGATCTTAGCTCAAACACAAGAAAAGCTTTCTAAAAACCATCCAAAATAGATCTAGGAAGAGATGAGCCAAGGTAACAGCTTCACAAGGCATGCTTATCACATAAAGTTGCAAACTTTACGTGCATGCAAAGCTCTGAAGCCTTAAAATGACAAAGCTAGGCTTGAAAAGAAGTATTGCAGTTAAGGAGAGGTTCATACTTGTCAAAGCTGGAAACTTTATAGACTTAGAGACCAAAAAGAGTTCAGATCTAAAGTTTCAACTTCAGATCTTAGCTCAAACACAAGAAAAACTTTCTAAAAAACATCCAAAAGAGATCTAGGAAGAGATGAGCCAAGGTAACAACTTAATACCTTCAAAAAGGGTGCCCACTGAAGTAGATCTCTGATTCCCCACGAGTTCCTTGCTTTTAACCACTTGTTTTCCCCAAGATTTTCTCACAAAAATCCTTCTTCAAAGCTTAACACACCAATAAAGCACACACACACACACACAAATTTAGGGTTTGAAATGACAAGAGGTTGTAGATGGGAGGCTAGGGAGGCCAATGATCCTTTAAATAGGGTGCAAAACCCCAAAAATTAGGGTTTCATCCTCCAGCTCCTACTCGTCGGGTCCCTCATTGGACTCGGCGAGTAGGTCACTTAAACACGTGGACCAACCCACTACTACTCGACGAGTCGAGCAACCAACTCGTCGAGTAGACCTTGAAATCAAAAAGATCTTATAACAAAAGAAATCAATACCTGGGAATCGGGGCGTTACAATTCCCCCTCACTTGAACTAGACTTTGTCCTCGAAGAGCGCTGAGGTGAACAACGTTGGATAGTGCTCCCGTATCTCTGCCTCCAGCTCCCACGTCCACTCGGATCCCCTCCGATGCTCCCACTGCACCTTCACCAAAGGTATCTCCTTGTTCTGCAGGACTTTCTTCTTCCTTTCCAGTATGGCCACATGTCTCTCCACGTAATTCAGGCACTCATCGACCTAAATATCATCCAACGACACCACTAACTCCTAATCCATAATGCACTTTCACAACTGCGAAATGTGGAAAGTCTTGTGGATCCGGCTAAGCTCCTCCGGTAGCTCTAGCCTGTATACCACCTTGCCAACCCTAGCAACAATCCTGAACGGTCCAATAAAGCGAGGACCCAATTTACCACTCTTCCTGAAGCGGATCACACCCTTCCAGGGTGAGACCTTCAGGAGTACCATATCACCCACCTGAAACTCTAACTCCAATCGGCGCCTGTCGACGTAACTCTTTTGCCGACTATGAGCGGTCTGCAATCGCTGCCTAATACGCTGAATCTTCTGGGTAGTATGAAAAACTACCTCCATCCGTCCCATCACCCTATGTCTAACCTCACCCCAACAAATAGAGGTGCGACATCTCCGCTCATACAACATCTGAAAAGGCGGGGCGTCGATGCTGGAATGATAGCTGTTGTTGTAGGCGAACTCCGCAAGGGGTAGGTGGGAATCCCAGCTCCCACTTAAGTCAATGACACACACCCTCAACATATCCTCGGGGGTCTGGATGGTCCACTTTCTCTG